AAAAATCTTCTACGAGTGTCGTTAACACTATTTACGCGAGTAGCGTACACTACTTTACCTATGAGTGTTTAAATAACTAAAAATCACTACTCATAGGTTCACTAAGAGAGGTTATGTTTTCGTTTATAACCTCTCATTGCCACTGACAGTGATGCAACGAAACATTGTACCAAACACTAATTGTAAAAACGGTTGCAGGTAAAATAGATTATTATTACTATGTTTCTGAAATGTTGTAAGCAAATAAGGAGAAGTTCTACGGATGATATAAATTATGTTACCTTTAAATTTTAGTTTGTTTTGTTGGTACAAGAATACAAGCATTCATCCTGAAAGTACATAAGTTTGACTATTGATTGGGAGTATAATATGATTAGGTCCATCGACAAGGAATTACCTTTGATGTTAGTTCAAAGGGTTTGGTATTATCATCACCATTTTAGTGTGGCTTTGTTGGTGCCTAATTCTATTGTATCTGTTGTGTTAACAAATAAAGTAACTGGCTTATTGAAAACAAATGATTGACTGTGCAGGTGTAAGCCTGGGTCATACGTACTTTTTATCAAATATCCTATAAACTGGTTATTGTATGCAATTTAGGTATTGGCTTTGTATTTTCGCATGTTTTATGTATTTTGAAAACTGATCAGAAGACAATCTTTTCTAATCGATTAAGTTTTTTTTCAATGTTACTCTAATTATTTTACCTACTACTAGTCCAGGACCTGACTAGGGTTCTGTGTGCATGTCGTGTATAGTGAATTTTGCTTTTGCATTTCAATATAGGTGTCTTAGGAAGTGTTTTCCACTCGGGTGTCAAGTTCGCACCTGGTACGTTTTCGAGCTATGACGTCATCAAAATGGCGGCCATTGATTTTTTTAAATCGTATATTTCGCAAACTATTTGTCGGATTGGAATGAATGTTTTTTTGTTTGAAAGATAATTTTAAATGCTACCTGTTTTACATTTACACATTTGTTGTATGTTTAGTACATTCTTCGTAATTTTGCAAAAACCTGTATTTTTAAATATTTTTGAGTTGTTTTTGTTTGTAACGTTTTATTGATACAATTTATCAAAAACCACCAATGAAAAAAGTTGTAGAACATTTAAAAATCTTTACAAAAATACCAAATTCGATATGTTTTACTCAAAAGATTACGTCAAGAAACTAGATAAATCTCATAAAAACACCAATTTTGGCGCAAAAACGCCTATTAGTCCGGCCTCTAGGGCAGTTCGCAAGTCTTTTAAAAATAGTTTCGCCATTCAATGTTGATGTACGTGTCTAAATAAGGGTTTTCAACTCGGGTGTCACGTCTGCACCCACTGCAGTTTCCGGTTATGACGTCATTAAAATGGCGGAAAGGGCTATATTAAAAATAACGATATTTTACATACCATGTATTGGATCGGAATGAACTTTTTTTTGTTTGAAAGATAAGTTTACATGCTATCTTTCTTACATTTGCACTTTTGTTTTATGTTTAGTACATTTTTCGTAATTTTGCAAAAACCTATATTTTTAAACATTTTTGTGTTATTTTTGTCGATAACGTTTTATTGATACAATATATCAGAAATAACTTAAAAACAAAGTTGTAGCACGATATGATTTACTAAAAAGATGACGTCAAGAAACTAGAAAATCGTACAAAACAACCTAATTTTGCGCAAAAACGCATATAAATCTCAATCCATGCAAATGGAAATTCGCTTAGTCGAAAGGATTGCTGCACCGGGGGTATTTATATAGTGGAAACATTCCTATGGACTAATTACATTGATTTGTTGTGCTTTTATTTGCATAAAAGAGGGTAATGGTCTTATTTTAAGTAAAATAGCTGGTGAAATCGTAACATGTAGCAATTTTTAAGACATCATAACCGGAAACTGCAGTGGGTCCAGACGTGACACCCGAGTTAAAAACACTTCTTTAGACACATACATCAACATTGAATGGCGAAACTGTCTTTATAAGACTTGCGAACTGCCCTAGATGCTGGACTAATAGGCGTTTTTGCGCCAAAATTGGTGTTTTTATGAGATTTATCTAGTTTCTTGACGTAATCTTTTTTATAAATTGTATCAATAAAACGTTACAAACAAAAACAACTCAAAAATATTTAAAAATACAGGTTTTTGCAAAATTACGAAGAATGTACTAAACATACAACAAATGTGTAAATGTAAAACAGGTAGCATTTAAAATTATCTTTCAAACAAAAAAACATTCATTCCGATCCGACAAATAGTTTGCGAAATATACAGTTTAAAAAAATCAATGGCCGCCATTTTGATGACGTCATAGCTCGAAAACGTACCAGGTGCGAACTTGACACCCGAGTGGAAAACACTTCCTAAGACACCTATATTGAAATGCAAAAGTAAAATTCACTATACACGACATGCACACAGAACCCTAGTCAGGTCCTGGACTATACAGTTTTCTTAGAATTTAAAAGTTTCTCATAACAGCATAGTTTTACTCATAACAACACGGGTAACGGACCAATGAGGTTCAAGGATTGAGAGGGAATAAGTAAAATTGTAATAATTCTAAATTAAACTAATCAGCTGTTCATGCCAATTTAATTGTTGAGTGGTGCAATTAGTGTTTGGTACAAGGTACAACGCTTCGATGCATCACTGTCAGTGGCAATGAGAGGTTATAAACGAAAACATAACCTCTCTTAGCAGTTATGAGAAGTGATTTTTATAAATTAAACACTGTTGTAGGTAAAGTAGTGTACGCAACTCGCGTGAATAGTGTTAACGACACTATCTTTACGCAATCGTTGCGTAAACTACTATTATTTGACAAACATGAATACTTGGAAATTAATGCTATTACAGTACCACGAAGATAAAATTGTCTTTACATCTGGTCCGACAACTGACTTAGTAGTTGGCTTTTTAGTGTTATAGCATTTTTTAAATAATATAAGTTTATACTATTGCATTGTTAGACAGATTAGCAACAAACTTAGATTAAACTCCATTGTTGATTTTGCTATGGGTCAGCAGAAGACAATTCACAGGTTATTTCTGTCTGGTCTAGAGGAACTTTTTATACTATTAGTTTCTCGATTCGTCCTCTGATGTCATTACCAAAGAGTAAAAAAGAAATCGTTAAGTCTACCCTGAAATAAGAGCGACCCATTTAGTTGACATCAGTGAACTCAATTGTCGACATGAACAAACACAAAGTAGGATTTAGATCTTGCATTAGGATGAAAGTTTGCTCGCAATATTCCAAAATCCAAGACTGCACTGTGAGATGTTAGTCCTGGTCGAGATATGTTGACATCTGAGTAGGAACTGTGGTTTCCTCATCGCCGTGAACTGAAGAGACGAGCTGACGTAATCGATCAACACCACGCTGCAGCAACCTGCGTACTCTACCACTCTTCGATTTAACTTTTACTAGCTAATTTGCTTAAAGGAAGTACCGGTATTGCTGAAGTCCCCATGGAGAGACCTAGATCTGAAACCTGTATTTTGTTGTATCGTTCCACATTCTAATGTATTCATTGGAACAGTATTGTTTGGACTGAGCGTAGATTTAAATTCAAAACCCGTTAATTACGAATCTGTTTGAATAAACTCAACACAGCAACCGCATAACAAAGCTTATTCTACACTCTACAGGCTTGCAGCTACAGGTAATAATATATCGTAAAATGTCAAATGTCAATATATCAAATCTTCGTGTTTTCTTGAATCATTTACTCCCTGAGTTATCTATAGAACTAAGTTCACATTTATTAATAAGCTTTTTCAAAACAATCCTACAAGACAGCTGGAACCCGCTTATTTTGCATGTTTGCTTTGACGAATGACATTTTTATATTCACTATAATTAAATTTTTTCACGTTTAGTATTGTTTCACAGACATTCAAACTTATAATCCCAAAGTCTTCTTTTATTGCCTAAAGTACAGTATTTTTCATTATGACCTTTTCTAGTTTTCATGGTTGTAATAACTAATCTCTAGTAATTTTATTCCTTTTATGCGTGATTTGAGATTGAATCAGTCCCGGATCCAATAAATGTTCTACCATAGTGACTTGTTTACACGAACTTGTCTAGTCAACGCACGCCAGTGTCGGGCTCGTGGAGCGACATTTAGCAACATGGGAACGCTGCGGCACATCCAGAGCCCTCATTACAATGACATTAGCCTACATTGATAAGCCGCCCTTGCCCCTGCTTCCCTACATGATGGCCCATCACCCGTCTATCATATACTCCTGGCATTCATATATCCGATAAATTGTGGTTCAATTCATATATAATCTATCGCTGGATACATTCGCCATTCTAAATCATTCTACCACATCCTACAACCTGATACATTCATATACACTACATCTTTCATATTTAATCTGTATATACATTGTTTAATTAATTGTTCGTTATCCCTTACCTAATCTACCCACCATCGCATGCATTTGTCCCATCCTCCATCTGTGGCCGCAACGTTGCAGGGTCCGGCACTATGACGTAATGTCAGCCACACGACACCGCCCGCCACCGTCAACGCAATCCTGATGGATTTGTCGTGTCCGATATCGAAACTGTCGCGATATTGATAGTAAAAGATTTCCTGCTGTACGCTCGATGGATTCGCAATTACACTGAGGTTTGTAATACGACATTTAACATTTTAGTAGACGCTTCTATGGTATCAGAATGGACAATTGGACGCCGCCACGTCTGGTGGTTAAATCTAAATAAGTTTGAGTAACTTTAGTTTTGGAAACATCAGTTTCGAGCTATTAAAATTCATTGTATTGTGTTAGATATTTACCCAGTACGCGGTTCAGAGGGATTTTAAATAATTCCGTGACATTGGATGGTTGTTTTGTAGGGGAAAATGTTCTTAGAAATTTAGTAAATAACTAAAATACAGCTTAGAAATCTTGTTCGTCGGTACGTAGGTGTAAAGAAAAGTTAAGTCTTAAGTACGTATAAAATTTATTAAAAATTCTCGACTATTTTTTAAAATAATATTTACAAAGGTATGACTTTAAATCACAAGTCCCTGTGCTGATCTTCGTCAGTCACAGAAACATCTTCGTCCTCAAATTCTTCAGAATGTTGAATCTCTAAGGACGAGTCGGTAGCCCTTCTCTTTTCAGTGTCCAGAATGTAACCGTTCCTCATGTCCATCTCCTTGGACTCCATGAAGTCCCTGATGATGCTGTCCGCCACGGTCGCCATGTCCTCACCCTCAGTAGCCTCACGCCTGGTCCTGTAGTGGAAGTCGTCCGCGGCGTAGTGTAGGTCTTCGCCCCCCAGGGCTGCGTTCAGCTTGTGGAAAGTCTCCTCACGAACCTCGCCGAACATCTGATCAGCCACCTCGTCTGTTTTTGTTGTCTGTTCCTGGAGAAAAAGAAACCGTTAGTATTTTATTTTTCGTCGACTTTCTGTTTGAGAAATGGTAGAATGTTCCTACTTGATAAATATACGCACGCCTTGCTAGTAAGGTTAATTTCGAATTAATTTAAGTTAAAACTAAGCGGTTTACCTTTTCTGAGGAGGAGGTGGGCGTGTTTGTATTGTAAGTGGAGGCACCCACCTGTTGTTTGTCCCAAGCCATGGTACCCGGCCCTGGAGCAGAGCCCAGCACGTTCTCCTCCAGGAACCCTGGCTTGTAGAGATCCCAATGTGCCTTGATCATATCAGCCACCTTCTCCGCTATCATGATGACCGGAGCGTTGGTGTTGCCACTGACGATGGTCGGCATGATGGATGCGTCTGCTACCCTCAGGTTCGGAATTCCGTACACCCTCAGCTCAGGGTCCACTACGGCCTCTGGGTCCTCTCCTGTGCCCATCTTGCACGTCCCTACTGGGTGGTAGATGGTCATTGTGTAGAAGCGAACCTGAACATCACAAAACATGTCATTGGGTTGAAAGATGTTCTAATCTTTGAAACGATTAAAGTTCACGCTTTCCAGTTGGTTGGGACAGTACTCAGGTAGTCTCAACATGTCTGAAATAATTTCGTATAACCCTTAAGAGGTTTTTTACATGCTTAGTCAATAAATCAACCCTATTTTCTTAGGTTTTTGTTAACTTGAACAACGTTATTCATACTATCAAGTCGTTTCACTTGTTTTACTATTGGTAAGTGCCCTTACCTGGCATTCCCAGTAGGCGTCAGACAGGAAGGGTAGATGTGAACACGCCGGCAGACTAATGTTGTGAATGTGAGTGTTGAGTGTTTGGAATGCTTTCGTGTGAGCCAAGCGGTATCCTATCTTGGCCCCTTCCACCTGAAAAACGGTTAATACAATGGGTTGATTTGAGATTACAGTAGGTTCTATACTAATCCGTCCTCTGGAGTATTCAATATGCTTAGTGGAAACCCACCAATGTGTGTTTAGTGAACACGATCTATGTATGCTATAGGCTACGTGCCCTCATCTAGTGGAAATAATGTATTTTCTTTAAATTAAATTAATATCCAATTTACTCATTTATTATGTTTAGCCATCCATTGTACAATGGGTAACTAAAATGGTTTGGTTACTCCAAGGATACATGTAAATTAGATTAACATTTTAATGGATACTTGCCGTGATATTTAAATTGTCGTTTTATCGTCCATCGGCCAACCAAAATGAATATTTCTTACATTGGGTTGCAGTAAACAACAAAATAAACGTGGATTTTTGCTTTTAGCAGATTTTAAATTTCATAATGCCAAAATTTTTGCGTTTTGAGGCATTCGTTAACAGTACCAGTAAGGATTTTTACAACATTTAAGTAATGTATTGTGCTTTGCTGGTATAAAGTTAATTATTTTCGAATAGTTTCCCCTTATAATAAACGATTCATTTAATACGATAATTGTTCAACTCTATCACATTTTATTGATTACACTTTTTCGTGGTTGTACAAATATTTCTGTTTGAAAAATTCTGACTCGTTTTTTCTCTCAATATTATTAGAGTATATTATATTTTTAAATGATTCATACCATACGTTTTATTGTAACTTGAGAGGATGGAAGGAAGGTTTAGTACGCCTTCCTCTGGTCGAACGCAGCCCGCTTAGGACATAAGTCAAGAGCTTGCAGGCGAGTCTTTGAAGGCGCCATCTTGGATAATTTCAAACAGCTGCTGAAGAGTTATTTACCGTCCAAAAATATCTTTTCAAACACCAGAGTTATTGTTATTTAAATGTCTAGTGTGATTATAAATTTTCTTTGTAGTTCTTTAATTGTTTTATGAGTTAGAACGTCTAGGCTCCAAGGACTCTAGACAAGTCAAATCCGACAGCCACGGTACCCGCTATTGTATTGTCAGCAGAACTACTGAAACTCTGTATCAGTACTTTATTCGTATTTTTATCAAATCAATGAATTTGCATAATGTTGATGAAGTGAAGTAATTTTAATTATTATTTGTCCCGGTTAAAAACCTGAGATATTAACTACTATTTTGCTAAAAGAAACGTTACTATTACTGTATCGATTTATATTTTTTTCCACTACTCTAGTTGATTAAACTATATGATACGTGTACAGGTAATGTTGAAAGATCATTCCTTACATAGCAACTAGCTAAAATAATTGTAATCCAATATAGCCGTTAATGTCATTTGCCAACTTACAATTGTGAGGATTGAATGTTGAGTTTAATTTCAATGTAATAATGCTCCACTTCATTACTTTAATTACAAAGTTAAGTTCACTTTTATTCATTGTTTTAGATTGAACAACATTTCTATGTGTTGTCTTGATTAAGTTAAATGCTTTCTTTCAACAACAACAAAGATAATATTTAAAATACCTATTTCATTTCGGCAACGCAACTAACCGTTAAAAGAGGTGTAAGAAGTGAGAAAATATTTGTGACAACTATCGTCCCATTGTATTCGACCAACTCTCCCAGAGTTCTAGAAAATGAGCTAAACTATTGTTACAACTAACTAGTGCCCCACTTATCATTGAACCTATTTTCCCCGACACTAAAATCAAAAATACTAAGTGCAAACTGTGGAAAGTCTTAAAATCCCGAAATCTATGGATTGGCGGCCATATTTTTGTAAACTGCTGAACTTAATTTATCCATTAAGGACTACTTTACGCTCCTTTGACAGCCCTTGATGGTTCTCTGACTTCTTATTTTTTCAATCCAAAGAAATATCTTTAGAGTGCGCAACAAGCAAAAACTGTTACATGGCTCCTCCATGAAGTCAGAAACATTTTCATCTGGGGAAATCCAAGGTCTTTGGTTCAAATCCCGCTAATCACCAGTGGATTTTATCCAAGTGATAGTGCCGAAACCCTATGGGCCTAGTCTGAAGTAATGTGTACAACGTACGTCTTTGTGAAGATGGTACAAAACACTTGCATACTGTATATTCATTCAATATATTCTAGGTACTCTGTATTCACCAAGGTCATGACGTCGTGAGGGTCGTCCAGATAGTTAGGGTGGATGAGAGGGTGAGAGTAGGCACTGTTGTCCTTCAGCAGGAGATGTCCTTTACTTCTGGGCCTCAGCAGGAGTGGCACGATGGTGAAGGCGTCCTTGTACAGGATAGGCTCGTACACTGAGGCATAAAGATCATCCTGTAGTCCTGTGTTGCGTCTGTTGAACAGACCCCCATCCGTGTTGTCAGCCGCGGAGGCGAAGAACAACTGAATATCCGGCCAATCAGTCTCCGCGTCGTTCATCCTTTTGGAAATTCCAAAATGGTTAAGTGCTAGCATAAAAATGTCAATAATTTGGCTTTAAATAATCTACAGTATTAAGTTATAAGTTTATTTATCACCCGGCTATTCTATTTTTAATAGGCCTTTAGATCATCTGCGATTTTATTTATACTTTTGATCGTATACGTTTACAACTGAATATTTCTTTTGGATCATTTTTATGTAATATCACTTGTATTAAAAATCGCAAATAAACAGATAGGTAGCTAATTTCTGTTTTGTTTGATTCAGACCTATGCTACCTTATGGCTTGTGAGGGATTATAAAGAAGTTTGTTGCATTATTTTGAGTCATATGCAAGATGTACTACCACTTCTCTCTATTTGAATGGACCAAAATTTGTTTTAATGTAGTTATTTTTATTTATACACTTTGTATTTTTAATTTGAAGTGTCTTGTTTATCTTCTGAGAAAGCTTTGTAATCCTAGTTCAAGAATAAAATATATGCACACTCTCTCATCTCTTGGATAAAACCAATCAGGTTGTATCACAAACAAAACAATTGATGCGCTCTGAGAGATGCCCAACTAACTGAAATGCTACTTACACTGTGTTGACAAAAGCCATCCCCTCAGCAAACGGAAGTCCATACAAGGGGCCAGTGCCGTTACGAAACTGTTGGAGGGTGTTTAGGGTCATGAGTCTGGGAAGGACGCAGCCGTAGCCGAGGGGCTTGGAGTCTTCAGGGGAGTCGAAGAGGTAGGTGGCACCACCCATGGCGATGTGGTCCTGGAGATTACTGCCGACCCCTGGCAGGTCTACCAGAGGTTTGATGTCCTTCTCCTCAAGATGTTCAGTTGGTCCGACACCCGACAGCATCAGAAGCTGGTAACAAAACTAGGCCAATCAATAGCTGCAACTGAATAAAGAACTTTTGACCAGAAGAAAAAAATTATCAAGGTTCTTTCAACTTCCTTGGTTTAGACAGGAGATAAATGTTAAAAAGCATTTACTCCTTGCTACAGCCAATCATTCACTAGGATTTGTTCAGAAATTAGTCATCATTAGAGTTTTAGAATTTCAATTTTACAGGATTACATAATTTCTAGAAGTACACCTTGACTACCGGTACTTAATATGGTAAAGTTATTAGGGTTTCTACATTGAAAACATTTCTCTCAGCACTTGTCTGTGTTGCCGAGTGAGTAGTTAGTGCTCACCTTCAATTCTGAACACCGTTGTTTGATTCCAAACAAGATAAATTCTAGACTTAAATACAACTTTTCATTGGGCAATCAATCAACGATTCTGTCAAACAAAAGGTCAAATGTTTGGAACCTAAACATTTTGTTGGGGTATATTTGATGTCCACGACTGTTAGAAGTTATCTATTATATTCAACCAACAGGCAGCATGACTCTTTCTGGAAGTAATTTTAATTTCTTCAATTTAAATTGTTCATATACCTGAGGAGACCCTATGGCGCCAGCACACAGTATGACCTCCCTCTTAGCCTTGGTCCGCACCACTCCCACCCCTTGCTTGTTGATGACCACCCCCGTGGCTCGCAGCTCATGTTCACCCTCCAGTATTATCTTCTCCGCGTGACTGTTGAGAGTGATGTGGAGGTTTTGTCTTTTAGCGACGGGTCGCAGGAACCCCTTGGCTGTGCTGCAACGTAAACCTTCCTTCAGAGTACCCTGGGACCGCGTGAACCCCAACTGACGTGGGCCGTTCACGTCTAGAACCTAAAAAGGGTTGTACAACTAAAATTGTCTTGTTAGCCAAGTGGTCATAGTGCTCACTTTCAAATTTGAAATTTCTAATTTGATTCCAGCAGAGTAGGTTCTAGATTCAGGTACAATTTTGGCTATCAATTAATGATGTTCTCTAACAAAAGGGTAATGTTAGATAGCTTGGATAGTAACAAAACGAAGGTCTGAAGGATTACTTAAAAAAAAAAAAATATTATTTGAAAATATGCACATTTCAATGATTTAAATATATGCAAAATAAAAATAGAAACAATTGTAGAGCTTTGAAAGGATGAGTTTACACTTGTTCCCAACCTAACCTTATTGTCGAGTTTTATAAAAATCAAAAGATGTATAATTAAGTACACAATTTAAGAGACTTGAAAGTGCTCTTACAGATCGCGTATCAAAATAGGGAAATCCAGGATAGGGAAGTTGATACTTGAGACATCACATGGTACGCACCTAGATTAAATTACTAATGGCCCAAGTAAGTTGTTACCTGGTAGCCAATCTCCTGGCCGGCCTCTAGGAATACATCGGTGATCGGTGAGTAGAACTTGTAGTGCTCCACTGTGAGGTAGCCGTCCTTGCCATGGTAGTAGGAGTCCCTCAACTCTGGGATTCTCATATCCTCGGACTTCATGAAGTAGGGAAGCACATCGCGGTAACTCCATCCTGCAGTAACAATCAATCTTTTGGTCATAATGTCAAAATGAAAGGACACAAATTCACCAACATTTTGATATTTTTTAACCTTGAACAGTCATCAAAATTATATTCTATTCTTCTCAAACTTGTCTTCCAAATGCCTTAAGTTGCTCCTGAAATCTTCAGTTTGTAATACAATAATGATATTGAAGTAAATAATATTCAAACTACTAAACATTTGATTCTCTGATTGTACTTTTTAATGTTTTTATATTAATATTGATGCAAATCAGAAAAATAATTTAAATAATTAGATCAGCTGATTAAATCAATTCATCTAGAAATTGATGTAACCATAATTTTTTGATGGAGTTGTTTTATAGTGGCTTGAAACATCAAAGAGGGTTCTTTAAATTCTCACACTGTGGAAATACACTCTCAAGTATTTCGGAATTGTATTGTTAAATCACAGTATTTGCATAAAATTTATCGCTCAAATAACAGAAAAACTATTCTTATATTGAACGGTTGGATCAATCGTCATTCTCTAGAGTTTGTACCTGGATTGCCAAGCTGTTCCCACAAGTCGTAGTCCCTGGCATTCCCTCTGATGTAGAGCATAGCATTGAGCACACTTGACCCTCCGATGACCTTCCCCCTGGGCCAGTTGCAGCGTCGCTCCTTCATCCCTAGACAGGCTGACTCTGAGGGCTCTGTCTTGTATTGCCAGTCAAGTGGGGACAGCTGCAGCGCAGGATAGGCAAAGGGAAGATCACTCAGGACAATCTCCTCTCCACCAGCCTCAATCAGCAGCACCTTGACAGTTGTGGTTAGTTATATTAAAGACTATACAGCATCCCCAAGAAGTACAGGAACTGATTTTTTTCAACCAATGCAGATAATGCTTTGAAGGTCCACGAACAAGTATCATACCTAAAATCTACTATTTTAACCTATCAAGTTTTCCATCCTACTGGGGACAGTCCACAAGGAGTTAGTAAAGAATCTTGAATGAAATCATAGCTTGGGTAAATAAAAAGTAGGTATTAGGAGAATTCAGTTCGATACCTGACCCCAAAATATTAATCCTGGCCCAAATGGCAGTATTTTAAAATGACCAATTTTAACGTGTCGAATAAAGCTTGGTTGTCAAACCCTGGGAATCCATAGTGCATGTGAAAAAAAACATTTCTGAATTGTGAATTACTCTACACCACTATTCAAAAACGGTGAAGGAGGAAGCTTATGAACATTTTCTGCTTGTCACTTCATGACAAAACTTCAGTTGTTCTAGATAATTTTTTTGTTAAGCCTCAATTTTTTAACTTAGAACCGTCACTGTTTCGGCTAGGATGAAACAGATTCGCGGAACTTTTTATTCTTCTCAGAGACCTTTAATTTAAAAATGTATTACTCGACCTTGGCCCTTTTTAAAGATTTCCTTCTGACTTCTTGTTATCTTTTCCCAGTATGATAGAAAGATATTATATTTTATTCAAAAAGTAAATTTTAGGTATAATACTTTAGTATAAATATTCTCCCTACATTCTCTGCAGCAGTTCAAAACTAAAATATCATCTGGGACTATCATTTGGGAAACCTGTATGTATCCAAATCAGTATACTCGTTTTTTCCTTAGTAAATATTTTCCTGAAACTTTTTATACAACTCACCTTCCACTCCGGGTTCTCGGAGAGTCTGTTGGCGAGGACGGCCCCTGCTGACCCTCCTCCTACGATGATGAAGTCATACTCATCGTTGAGTGTTAGAGGCCCCAGGTCACTCAGTCTGCGGTTTACCGTATCCTCTATGTCCGGACGGAACAGAGAGATTGTCAGTCGTACCAACATCACAAAGCTGATGCTCGGACCGTAGGACATTGCTATCCTCGAAGTCGAGTACATTCGCAGTGTTTGTCCGTCCATGGTGCTGAAAGAGTTTTATCGAATGATTTAATGAGTTTTTGAACAAAAGTAATTTGTTTCGTGAGCTGAAGAGAGTGTTCACTTTTTGTCATCATATACATCTACTCTAGGACCACCAATGCTAATCATTACCATATCACATAATTGGCTTGAAAATCAATTATTATTGTATTCTTAGTTTAACAATAGAAAAGGATTCTGAAAAATTAGGATTGCTGCCTTGAAAATTTCTAGGCTTAATCTAGCTGACTTATAATTATTGTAATTATGTATTTCCATCGATAATTTTTTATACAATATGTACAAGATTGAGAATTGTCTATTAGCAAAACTATGTTATTAATCACATTACAAACAGAAATTTGAAAACTTAAAACAATAAAATTATACATAACAAAAACAAAAGTATTACTTTCACAGTATGTGTTGTTTTCTTGTTGTGAACATTCTGTCCCGTTACTACAGCTATAAAGTCACAAGTTCTGAAGGGAAAGTTTTAAAAAAGAACTGAAGAACCTTTGTTTAGAAGATTAACTGGTTTTAGTGACTTAAATGTAATTTTGAAGATTATTAAGTAAGTTGGAGCACCTATAGAATGGGGCATTTTCATTAAACCATGTTTGATTATTTGTATATTGGAGTTAATTGAGTGTTTATTGTGAAATATGTGCTGTGTTGATACCAAACATCCACATAGGATGACCTAATACCAAGAAATTCAACTCAGGTACTCAGTCAGAACTTGGTGAGTTCAGTGACTTCTATAGGTAACTGTTTTGTGAGCCTGATAACACACACAACACTTAAACATTTTTTAGGTTGTAATTTTATTAAATTATTAACTGGTTTTGTTCAACTAAACAATTGTTTATTTTTTCCCAGAATTTCTTTTGAAACCTAGTAGTCTTCTGTATTCAATTTTCTCAATCTTAAACACTGATACTTATTTTCTATTTTAGTCCTTTTACAGCCAAGTTAACGATCGTGGAGGCATGGTTTTGCAGACCTCTCTCTACTCACTAGATAATATATAGGTTTTGTCTATTTCTCATGGGAACTTGGGGGCTTACGACTTATGGAGAAACAAAATTCTATAAGTGAATAAAATTGTTTGTATGTTGTCGTTAATAAAGATAAAGATTTGTTAGTGTTTAAAGAATACTCACCAGAAACATTTTCAATGTATGAGTTAATATTGTTTAAACGTCCTAAAATGCTATGTTTGTGAAACTTTACAAGCATTCAAAGCAAATCTAAGTGCTGGTAAAGGAAACCACAACTGTCAATATTTTTAAGACAATAGGTCTCTGCATTCTGGGAAACAATTTTCTTGTTATTTCGTAATTGCAAATTATAATTATAAATGGTTTGATTATAACAAATTATGCAGCAAATAGTGTGACGATAAAAAATAAAAAAATAAAAGCATATATAATAGTAAAATCTAGTATAATTAATTAAACTTTATATTGCTCTTTTGATGCTGTTTTCCCTATGAAATGAACTTTAAACTATCAACTCACCATGAATGGCATCAGCACTCGGGGCAGTAATGACCAATGGGTGTCAGCGACTGAGGTGCTTCAACATAGCTATTGCTGACGTAGTGTCATACCGTGTTTGTATACAAATACAGCCGCAGCCATTACCGCTTACCTGGCTCAGTCAAGGCCTCGGTCTCATAATATCAATGTTGATCACAACAATATCAAGTTCAACACCCTCTACAGTCTGTTATGTAAAGCATCTACCTTAGGTTAACCATACTTCATGAATTGTAAAAAAATTAGCTTAAGATTGCTTCATTAATGTCTTCCTTGATATTGTGTTTTCAACCAGAGTAGGAGATTGTTTACCATGAGGTACATTAAATATTATCTCATATTATGCTGAACATATCCTAGGTTACCGTATCAACTTGGATAGTTTGGTCTCAGAAATTTTAAAGCAATGTAGATAATGTAGAACCTGATACTGAGTTATTAAACATTCACTTTAAGTAGAGATCTCTACAGATGCTACCTGAAGTGAACTGTTGTAAAACATAACGAAACAACAATGCAACAATGGAAACAGCTGATTCAGTATGGAACAATGCTTTTGGGACAGTCTATAGTAAACGGTTGGATTGTTCATGGTCCAGCCATCGTGAATAGTGAGTAGAAACACTGAATTGTCTGTTTTGGCAATTTGTTTTACCAAATATACAAGATCCACTCAATCGCTTCATGGACTATGACACAATCGCCACGTTAAATTACATGAAATAGTATTGTACCTAAGTTTGGTTTACTTCTTGGCTGAATATTTCATGTCCAAAACAAATTGTTAAGCTGTTTCGTAATGTTGAGTTCAAAGATTTGACACTAACATAAATAGAAAGTAACATTACATCAAAAAGTTTACACTTGCAAATATATGCAACACAATCAAAGATCACACACAAGCATGCGGTGATGTTTACCATTGAGCTTTAAAACTTTTATATTCTTCAAGTTTTTAAAATTGTTATCACTGCCACAAAAATCTATGGCAATAACCCTTTTCTTCCTATCATCAATACACATCAATCAATGACTTAGCTATTGAATTGGTGCTTGGTGACTAGTATCCACTTTTTCCTGTTCTAGCGCCAAGGATATTAAAAATTCTATATACATACCGACATCTCTACTGAATTCAAGTTATTTATTGTCAAAAGAATGAGACCATACACCTCTTACAGTGTTCACTATGTTCTCTTATTTTCAGCACTTGTCAAGGTATATTGGAATCCAACACAGCCTAGTCTAGGTGAACAGGTTTGAAGATGGGGCTGAGGGCCTTGTCCCCATAAACCAGATAGCATCATATTAAGCCTTCTATTTAGTATTGCAATCACAGTTATGTTAAATAATGGATTATAGTACTTTTATAATATTAATTTTACTTTCGAGGTGACGCTGTTTTAATATCATAGCTAAACTTAATTTTTTTGCATTACAAAATTTAACAGCTTCCATACTGAAGCAGAACAGTTTGGTACTTTAGTGTTCAAACAATAGTAAGCAAGATTCCAATTTTATTCATGTGTTGATTGTTAGGTTTTTTTAGACTCAGACATGTGTTTGTTCTAAATATTGTATACAAACACAATTTGGTCCCTTTCATGATGCAATTTTGTTATAGGTAATCTTTGCACATTATAAAAAGTTTTAAATCAGTTGTGGTTTTGTACATTGTTAATTACAGATATCAAATAAAGTTTCAGTCTGAGAAATTTTGTGTTCTAGGTACGGTATGGAATTGACGATATTGTATTGTAATATTTCGACGACAAATTCACATATTTCCATTGCACAGTCCATCAAATATGGTTAGCACGTTTTATGCAGTCTATATAAGTTATGTATCGGTTATCGAGGTTTTTGGAGGCAATAATTAAACAGGCAACAATAATATTACTATATTTAAAATTATCACAGTGTGGGAGCTGGTATACGTGAATATTCCAGTCAGTTTATGTACAATAAATGCAATGGTACGCTCTTACAATATTTGTTGTCCAAACAAAATTTACAGTAATCTATAAAATAAAAATACCTCCTAACCTCAAAATAGAACTGAAAAAATCAACTTGACTAATTTTAGGGCTGCAAAACAATATTGAATGTTTTCAATCTCAATTAGTTCATTCAGATGAGATATTTACCTTTGATTGATTGAAGTAGTATCCAAGAACCAAGTAGGATTTCAAAGAGAACAAAGGACTGATAAATACTGAAATAGAGAAGAGAACATAAGATGCATACTTAGGTCTTTACAATGGACAATGTTGATTGGATTCTCTGTCTGTCAGCAACTTAACATCTAAACTTGCTTATTGTTTGCTATTTAGTTGCTTATGTCACATTTCCTGTATTCTGTACAACAAAGCTTTTCTCAAAGACTAATAATCTTTAAACACTCAAGGCCAGTTACACTACTCTATTGAGTAAAACATACCGTTTCCGTTTTTTACATTGTACATCATTCATTATTATAAAATTGTTCATTTAATTGCATTACATGTATGCATTAATTACTAAATGTCATGATCATAACTAAATTATACTATCTACATTTGTCAAAGAATCCTTTGGCATTTCGAGGTACGCTTATTACTAAATGGCACTAACTATAATAAATTATATTGTTTACAATTTTCCCAATAAAATTACTCAAGTTATGTGAAAATATTTTTGAGACACTAAACCTTTTTAAATTGTTTCGACACTGTCTTTTTGAATTTTTATGATAAATAGTGAACTTAGTATCTCTTATTTGTAATTTAATAAGAGGATTTTAGAAACATTTACTGGCATCTTTTTGTTTCTACTTCTTGCCCGACTGATGTGATCATCATGTGTTTGTCCTTGGTTGGTGTGTTGTAGACATTCCAGGAGTCTAGAACTAGAAGCACTCCTTCAGATCATCCATATATCCTCGGACGGTACCAGGACAGGCAAATCGCTTGAAAGTCTTTCCAGACAGTCCGAGTGTGTTATTTAATGCTAGCATTAAATTGGATGCTTTTCCAATCACAATAAATATTACCTCAGGGGTATTTGATTGTCCCAATACGCCTTGATCATATCCGCACCTTTCTCCGCAATCATTATAACTGGGGCGTTTGTGTTGCCACTGACGAGGTTGGGCATGATGGAAGCATCTATCACTCTTAGCCCTCTCACCCCGTACACCTTAAGTTCAGGATCTACTACAGCAGACTGGTCCCAATAAGGTCCCATCTTGCAGGTGCCTACAGGATGGTAGATGGTCACAGAGTAGTGCCTAATCATGCACTCCCAGTAGGCATCCGTGTAGAGAGGTACTTTGGTGCATCCTGGGAACGGAATATTGTGCAACCTGCTGCCAAATTTCTGGAAGGATTTTGTCCGGCTCATGGCTATTATGATCTTAACTCCTTCTACCAACGTTTTCATGTCAAAGTCATCAAAGAAGTAGTTTGGGTATATCAAAGGATAGTCCAAAGGATTTTTGCTCCTCAGTTTGATCAAGCCACGACTTCGCGGTCTCAACAGCACCGGAATCGCTGACCAGACATCTTTGTTGCTTATCGGTTCGTATACGGTGTTGTATAGGTTCTCTGTAATCCCGTGAGCTTTCCTTATTTGATTTCCTCCATCAGAACTGGTAGATCCGGAACAGAAGTGGAACTCGATGTCAGGAAAGTCATCGGACGCGTTGGCATACTTGGTGTTGACAAACGCGAGTCCTTCTACACCTCCTAGGACCGTCAGTGGGCCGTCTCCCATAGTGGCATACCTCAGGACTGCCGGCACGTTCTCGTACCTCTCCTGAACTAAGGATACCTCTTGGTTCACCATGAACGTGAATCCTCCTAGACCGATGTGATCTTGCAAGTTCTCGCCGACTCGGAGATCCTGTATGACAGGAATGTTCAGTTCACTCAAGTGCTCCTTTGGACCGATCCCTGACAACATGAGGATTTGAGGAGATCCCACTGATCCTGCTGATAATATCACTTCCTTCCTCGCTCGTGTGATTATTTTCTCACCTTCCCTCAGATACTCTACGCCAAAAGCCAGTTTTGACACTGGATCTATCAGGACTCTTGTCACCTGAGAGTTCATCGCTACATGTAGATTATTCCTAAGTCTGGCTGATCTAAGGAAAGCCTTGCCTGTACTACATCTCGCACCTCTTCGTATCGTACCTTGAGGAATCATAAATCCTGTCTGGAACTCTCCATTGATGTCTCTGTTCTCGTAGCCCATCTCTACGCCTGCTTGTATGAAGGCTGCAGCCAAGGGTGTGTGCCACGGAGCCTCTTGCACGGTTAAGTATCCTCCAGTCGAGTGGTAATAGTTCCGTCCTAAGTAGGGATTTCGGTTGTCCTCAGATTTTTTGAAGTAATAGAGAGCCTCCTTTGAGCCCCATCCCTTGTTGCCCAAAGACTCCCAGATGTCGTAGTCTTTCTTGTTCCCTCGTACGTAAAGCATGTAATTGAGCACACTGGATCCTCCAAGTACTTTTCCCCTGGGCCAGTTGCATCGCTGATTGTTCATACCTGGAACAGTAGAGACAATCATTAATTTGTGGATTTGTTTATTTGAACTTTATGGATACATAATAAAAATACTTACATTTTAGACCAAGCAATACAAATATTCGTTATGTATAAGTTTGTATACAGGTTCCAATCCAGGCTTTGATTCATTTTCAGGTAAGACCTAATCCAATTCCAGGTTGTGTTTGTACATTTTGAGTTTTCCAAGTCTAGTGTGTAGCTTATTTTTCTAATCATCTGACACTCTTAAAACTCACGCAATAAATTTATCTGTACGAAAGTGTACATACCCAAGCAGGCGGTGCCCTGTGGCTCAGTCTTGTACTTCCAGTCGAGTTGGCTCAGTTGTAGGTAGGCCGCTAACAAAGGCACGTCAGAGATCTCAGTTTCATCCCCTCCAGCCTCTAGTAGCAGCACCGTCCAACCCTCCATCTCAGACAGTCTATTGGCCAACACCGCTCCTTCACATGGACAAGCAAATGTCTTTCACTGTGAATCTCAGTGCATCTTGAATTTAATTTTGTTATACCGCATTTTTTAGAATCAAAATACTTTGTGAACATCAAATTTCTCGATTTTAATAGTAAACATTACATAGCGATAAAAGGTTGTTTGGAAAAGATCTCTAATTGTTGTTTGCATATAAAATAACTTGGTTGGACTATGTTTTGGAATTATTACTACTATTTTGGAAAATATCACTGGTTATTATATCATTAACATTACTATTGTTTAATTTGTTTTATTAATAGTTTTAAATTATGTCTAATTATTTTCATTTAGGCTTAACATCTGAGTGTCTTAAAGTTTGGTTTCAAATGCTTCTAATGTCCCTAATAAAATATTAGGTGTAAAAACAGTAAAAAAATAATTGGTATAATGATCGATAGTTTCTTATCAACACATAATAAACTTACCTGCGGAACCACCCCCTATAACGATAAAGTCGTATTCTCGAAGTATGTTGGTCGTAGGGACGTCAATGGGTCTGGACTCCGGGTCTAACATCTCGTAGTGGAAGTACGCCATGGCGGCGACCAGGAGGGGAGCGAACCAGGCGACCGAGGAGGCGGCGTTGACTGCAGCTCCTGCTAGCGACACCGGCAACGCCGCGACACCACTCATCCTGCACAAACCATCAGAAACTTACCAATAACTACTTGAATTTACGCTCCTTGCTCTTAAAAATGCTCGATCTACTAGACTAATGTATTAGAGGAGAAAAACGACGGCTGAAGAGGACTAAGTCCTAAAACAACCTCAGTCCAGCATGGTTTCAGCTCACTGGATTGGAACGTCACGAAGATCAGATCAGAGAAAGAAAAACAAGCCATGAGATCATGTAACAGAAATAATAGAGCATCAAGAACTGGTTGAAATACAAAAAAAAAATGGAATGTTGGCTGTTCTCTAATGCTTGGAATGAATTATCCAAACCACATAATGGACCAAAATTTATCCAGCACTAAATGAACATTATAAATAAAGAGGTGACATAAATTTAACAACTTAAACTTGTCAACATTATATAATCCACCACGGTTACGCTTTGTATTGTCCGTGATTTATTACGAATATGGATAATATGGAAAATATTCTACGGTTTCGATATTCATCTCGATCTCATTATGTTAAATAATCCCCAAAACGAAACCTTATTTTTTTATTAACGATTGTTTCTAAGTAGTGACTAAGATGATGATGGTGTCGATTGAATGAATGTTTCCATTAACTGTTCCTTGTCAGATTTCTATTAGTTTCACATGTGTTTGCTTCGTCGCTATTACAACACTTATAACGTATGTTTTGATCCGTAACTATTGACGTCATACAACTCTAACTCGTCACTTACAAGTCCAAATACTTTGACGACTTCAAAGTTTATAGAAACTCGACTTGCTGGGACTTAACTCACCATATCATTACTTAGTGTTCTGGCCTATAGTTTTCTCAACAATCAAATTTCCTTAACCATTGCCTTCTGCTGAGTAGCTTTCTGCAGTTGAGGTATTTCTGAATTACCAATGACTCTCTAGTTGTCAGTGAAACCATGTCATACTTTCTCTGTTGCTAAGAAAGGTGAATGTGTTCTATATATCTGTCTGTCTCGCTCACCAAATGCTACTGGTTGGCGCATTGTTATTGTTGTTTGTATTTGTTGTCGTTTTACGGTGTTGTTTATTTTATGTGCAGCTTAGTCGAGCTTAGCTTAGTCTAGTGTACAAAAACGGCATTTTCAATTATTAGATACGCTAACGCCTAAAGTTTTGCGGTCATGCTGGGATTGAACCTGTCTTTCTCTCGCACCTAACTCAAAGACCAGCAGGCTAGCAACACTCACATGTAAAAGACTAATCTTCCAGAATTTTATAAATTGTTATGGCAATTGTCAAAAACCCATTCATTGGGAGATAAAGACAGAGTCAATAACAATTAAATGGTATTGATTTTTAGATTAATTCAATTTTCCTTAAGTACTTACGCCTTATGTCACCGTGGTAGATGCAAAAATATTATTGATGAAATAGTATAGTTATTTGTGTAACTAGTGGGCGAAGTGGCACTTTGCTGCACAGGAGATAAATAATTACGCACGAGTCGTAGGCGAGTGTGGAAAATTTCTCGTGTGCAGCAAAGGCAGTTTGCACTCGTCTTACACATTATATTTTCCGTACAGTTAATATAAATCATATAAATAATTAGTCTTTCCAACACTGTACAACACATTTTTAGGTTAGGTTAAATCCAAACATTGAACGAAATAGGAAACGCTGCACCAGCTGATCGTTGTCGTAATATCAAGTGTTGCCCACTTATTTTCAAGCGTACACGGATTTCATGCATAATAAAAGCACGCTGTTTTTTGTTGTTTGGTTGGAATACTGGTGTGCGCCAAAGTAAGGCTTTCTGTACTATATTCTGTGCAAAGAAGTCCACTTTGTCAGGTGACTGTAAGAAAAAATATTATAGCTATGCCTATTTTGATAATATTACGTAACCTTCAGCATTATTTTGTTGTGTTATTATGACCAACAATGAATTTTACAATTTAACCATTAACAGTTTCATAATAATTATACACTACATAATGTTGTGCTAGCCACGTTTTACACTATGCATTGTGATTTTTCAACATAAAAAAATCTTCCTAATTTGATTCACCCTGTTGTTAATAATTTAATTGACCAATTATAAACAAACGAGGAAACAGTGTTCAGCGGTTAAAGTAGATATTATCGTATAACTGTGGTGGTCGACCTTGATAACACGTCGAAATGTCGATCACATGACCCATCTTGTTGATGGCTTAATGGCATTCAATTATATATATTATTATTATAATAATAGGACTATTTTTCTCAAGAGCTTAGAATCTATAGAAATGTTTTGTGAATTGTAATTTAACACTCATATTTGAACAACTAAGACGACGAATGTTAGTTCTTTGGGAGTTTTTTTTTTTTTACGATAAACATGAGAAACATTTTTTTGATTAAATAAACTTTCGAGATACTGTAGTTCTTTTTTAATGCAAGTTTTTCAACGAAATAATCACATACACATTGATAATATAATTGTAAACCCACTTAAACATTATACAAACTTATTTGCATCGGAGTTTTAAGATTTAGCTCGTATGAATCAAATTATTTGTATATCATAAATGATCAGTATAGGGAAGACTTTTGAGGTATCTTATTTTACTATTTTTAACAGATGTATGCAATCATTGTGGTTATATTTGAGCTTATTTGCCGTACGTACTCCTAAACATAAGAATTATTATTTTCAAATAAATAATTTACCCTTACTAGGATGTTAATTACTGATTATAATCTCCCCGCGCCAATCATACAAATTAATGCATTCAGTGGAAAGTTGTTAATGATATTTATTTACTCGACTCCTATGTTTACCTGCGTTGTTAAGTCGTCATAAACACAATTAAGTGTTTGTAAACCCCCATTTCCTCGTATGAGTATTACATACAATTTGTGAATTTCATATTCGAGTCAAAATCAATGGTTCTATCAGTGGAAATGTTCTACATGGTAATCACGTTGCCAGCTACGAACTAAATTTCGATAAATGTAATGTAAATTGATTTTTAATGTTACTCGGATGGGTGACTGAGTGGATATTGTGTTTACACTAAAGTCCGGAGATTTTTATTGATCGATTCTGAATACTGTATGTCGTTATGTGATTGTGGAAGTTGCGATTCTTGGCATTGGTCTCTTCTCTTGTTAAAATCATGCGTTCAAGCGAACTTCATAGCAACAAACCTGCAGACTTAGCGAATTTCCATTTGCCTGATTGGATTTACACTAAAATTTCTCCTTTAAATTATCACATTTATTCCCTATTTAAATAGAATTAGTTTCACGAGTACTTAGGTTTGCTGCAACAGGGAGGGTAAAAAAGTTTTTTTTTTGTTGTAAAATGTTAATACTGTAGTTTAGTAAGAAATGAATATATTTTCCAAATTTGATGAAACAGTTGACTTATTCTCCATAAGAATAACATAGGAATTTTAAATTTAAATTTTTTGGAATTTTCTCCGTAACCATTAGGCGCATAATAACGCTTAAATATACTAAATAATTTGTTTTCCTTTAAGCTCTACAAAATGGTTTGGAAAGGAATTGCGAAATTTTGTGTTTTCAGGGTCAAAAATGGGAAACCCCTATTTTTACCCCATAAAACCCCCCGTAAACCTCGGTTCCCATAGTCCGATCATGCTGGTTCGCGAACTCGTTCGAACAAATGCAGTTTTACATGTTTGTTCGAAATTTAATCAAAATCTGATTATTTTTGCTCGATTTATCGTGATAACGGACATGTATATATCATAAATTGGAACGGATGGTGTTTTGGGCTTTTAGGGACCTCAAAACGAAAAAATAAATCGGTCCCGGGTCTTACCATGAGTACTACGGTAATAGCTTATTCCCTATATGGGAAATTCTCTAAAAGAGTTTTGACTGAACCGCAACCGCATAGTAACTACAAGAGTTTTTGCTGCAAAAAAACGTTTCAGAAAGATTATGTAACCGATTTAAAATAGTAAACAAGTGTAAAACTTGGCTGTAGAATCCTCGTTCGTGCTATGTAGAGGTCTGTAGAACGTTGAAATACAGACGTTTCCGTACGCAAAGTCCTGGCGTGGTGAACGTGTCTAATCCATTATCAACAGAGTTTGTCTGTGTTTGCACTCTCCTCAACAGCAGCAATGCAGTAGTGGCAATATATCACGTAGGTCCAAAACCTTCAACGAAGAGTTTTATATATTACGCATTTTTGAATTTGTATAGTTGTTTAGTAGGTTCTACTATGAAATTACTTTTCAAGTTACTCCAGGCTAGGCTTGAAGGTGCGGCACTACCACTTAAGATAAACTCTAAACTTTAGATAAACTCCTTGTTGATGGGCGGTATTTGAACCCGGGATCTCGTGGACCTAAGTCCCGCGCTCTACTACTAGACCAGCCGGCTCCATGTAAATTTGTACATCAATAACTTCCCAATCCATACAATTTCCTCTTCATCCCGACTTGTCTTAAAACACTGACACACTTCTTGTGTTTAGTTTCTAATTGATATACTGAGCTAATGGTGTTTTAAGATAAAATCTAAACATTTTTACATATTTTTGGTTTTATTATTAACATTATTTATCTAAAATCTATACACCTATGGTTCAAATTCAATTCTAGTTTGTAAAAGAAACTCCAGAAGACTGTATTTTATAAAAAAGGCACATTTGCATTTGATTTCTATTGCAATACGAATTACTAAGAAATCACCTCCCTATGTCGACAATTCGAATATATACAAGGGTTAAATTATGTAATGTCTGTTGTTTTTTGTTGGATATACGTAAGGACAAGAATTTGTATGGACTATTTTATGAAAATCGTTATTTACCAATCCCTATTGAAGTCTTTGATTACTGTATGTGTACAATATTAAATGTATAATAGTATATTACGTTACTAGTCCTGAAAATAAGTGTTTACCGGACGAGTGTGGTCGTTCCCGTGCGAGACGAAGTCGAGTACGGGATTACCATACGAGGCCGGTACACACATTTTGGACGAGTTACGTACGATAGTTTACGCCATAC